TAATTATTAAAAATAATAAATTATTAAAAATAATAATTCAGTAATTTAATCTAATTGATCGCGTTTTTATGATTCAATTTTCCAATCCAATAAGGACTAATACGTACTTTTATACGTATAATTGAAAAAACAAAATATAATACTCGCTGTTCAAATCGATCACAATTACTAGAATAAAGTTGAATAATACATGACAAGAATAACATGAAAGTGATATTTCATTTTTCCCGAGACTGCAAGAATTATTAGTGATTTTCTTAGATTACGTATATTGTTTCCTTGAAAATTGATTGATGATCACTAGGAATGACATTATTGGGAATGACATTTCATACGCAATGATCGTATAGGTATACGTGTAACAATTGTACAATAATGATAAACGCGTGCAACAGTTCCTCCTCCGATCGAACATCGGAGTTACCTCTCGTGGGAAATACGCGCGCGTGGGACGTCCACGTGGAAATGGCCGTTATGAGATCGTGGGGTTTTCCCGGGGCGCACGATCGCTATTCGTCGGCGACAGTCTGCCATACGGCGGGTGTACGCTCTCCTTGCGCCGAAGTGAGACGGATAGACAACCTGTTTACGATATCCGCGCGCGCACGCACGAGCACGCGCGTACGCTGGCGCACTGCCGTCATCTACGCGGTGATCCGAAACAATTCGAGTGCAGAAAATCGCGAGAAGATAAAAAAATCATTAATAATTCTTGCATGTCTCGGGAAAAATGAAAAGTCACTTTCATGTTATTTTTGTCATGTATTATTCAGCTTTATTCTAGTAATTGTGATCAATTTGAACAGGGTACAGTATACGAGCCTTTCCGAAACAGTGTTAGTTACTAGTTTATAAGTATGAAATAAAAAGTGGAAAAAATGATAGTTAAAAAAAAATTAATTAATATGGAGATATAAATTAATAATTACTGCAGTTCACACCGGTAATCTGTTTGTGATTTATTTTTGGAGCCAAGAAAATAAATTTATGTTTCTATTTAAATTAATTATATGTATTCTGGTATTATAAAATTAAGAAATTTGTATGAAATGTACTCTCCAATGTACTCTGAATCAGTGGATAATCACTGATATCAGTACCAAGTATGCCACTAGTAATCAGTGAATGAAATGCGAGATTCCTAATCTAACTAATCTTGATGATGTAATCTAACTAATCTTGTTTGAGTGCTAAAATTCAATGAATATAGTATTGGAAGATTATGAAATTAACGTAATATCGATATTTTAATTATATAATGCTCAAACATTGCATTCTTCCTTTTTTAGTTGAACTTTACTGATTATCAGTACAAAGTATGCCTGGGTAATTAATGACTATCCACTGATTCAGATTTCGAGAGTATAAGTATCTGTAATTGTCTACAAGTATCTACAATATAATTACAGATAAGAAATCTTGCTGTTTATAAAGATAAGAAAAATTTGGAGAAGGAATTCTTGAAGTTCCTTTAAAATTTCTGATTTCTGAATCATATTTCTCTATCATATACAATTACACAGTCATTTCCTTGAGAGACAGGAATACTCTTTGAGAACAATGAAAACGCATTGTGTAATCTAGCATCGCGTAATCTTCTCTAAAAAATCTGGGAACGATGATTTAATTGACAATCGATTGCAGTGTGATGTCGTTCCGCGATAGACACTCGGTATGCCGGAAATTTTCCTGTGGCATTAAGTAGCATTTCAATTGCATTGCGGACAACGTGGAACGTGACGTGAAACGTGAACATTGCTGTTATAAAGACCAGTTTAGACAAATAGGTTTCTAGCGCGTTTGTTTTCCTCGCTAACTCGTCGCAACTCAATTTCATGCTGCTTGAGATTTGCAATCGTTCTTGTAAACGAAGAATCATATGTGTTAGTCCTTATTGAATAAAGATTAACAGTCGTAAAAACGACGATTTAAAAATCACATAATTTTATCAATTTTATACTTTATTTGATTATATTTTATTTCATTATATTTTATTTGATTATTTTATATTTCATTTGATTCTTTTTTTTATTTTATTTGAATTTTGCTAGAATTCTAAATAAATGATAGATTTTTTTCTTCAATATCACGTTGTCTTTCCGGAAATAATTGACTCGATTTTGACATTTGATTTTTATATGTCTTATTTCATCATTATTGTTGCCTCGAGCTTTCCTCTGCTGTCGAAAAACTCGCCGATGACTATTCGTGGCGCACTTTCACTGATCAATCGCCTCAGGCGTTGCAATTTAGTTGGTCGAGTCGAAAGAGAGTGCATTCTCTTCGACAAGAGATCGTCCGTTAACCTTTACCCGCATACTCCGCAAAAATCGGTCACCTTTCATTCTTGTTCGACGGCCTTTCTCACGCGCGCAATACGTTTCATTTGCATTAAATCGCAGATAGTAATTATCGTAGAAAATTAATGAGAGACATGTACATTGAAACGAACGGCTGTCGCGTTGATTTCTATAGCAGATACAATCGATTAAGATTGAAATTAGAATTATCTGATATTAATTTTGATTGTCGATATAATTAAGCTTTCCAATATACGCATTCCATGAAATGCTTTGTCCAATACATGCGAGAGTAAAAACATTTGTTCCGTTTTATTCATGTAACATAATAATAATATCGTTCCGTGACAAGCGATAATCGATTTCGCCGCCGAAGAATCAGTTGGAGCATAGTAAAACAGTTTCACGTATGCTATTCAGATTAATTATTCTTCGAAGCAGAGCAATCCGACGTCCCTGAAATTTATCAATTGGGTCACTCGTACGATACGCAGGTGCGTAGGGCGTATATTTTTTCGCTTATCGCGCGCGCCGAGAAAATACAACAATAAATATTTAGTATGAAAAGTTATATCTCTGGCTAATATATTTATCGAGTGATCCTCGTTCATTATACGCTTTGTTTATTATGATTTAGTGGTAATTATTAATAATTAATGCTTGAATAATGTTTTGAGGTGAATACATATCCAGTTTTGTGAATTGCACATCGAAATAAATTTCGGTCTTGAAATGTAATTCTAAACTTGAAACTGGAATTTTACAAATTAAATTAATAAGCAATTTAATATGTGTGTCAATGCTAATCAAAGCATCTTAAAAAACAAAAAATAATTATTTTAGCAGTCGAATTGATAAAGACACTCGTCAACACAGGGAAATCAGAATTTGTATCTTGTCTAAGGCGATATTTTTTGTAATAAATTATTTTTAAACTTTTTAAAATATTTATTAGCATTAATATCATAAAATTATTTGTTAATTTAATTTGTGATATTGCTATCCAGTTTTAGCTTATTCAAGTTTCAAGACTAAAAATTATTTTGGCACATTTACAGAACTAGATGAATGTATCTATAAATTCACACAGAACTAGATGAATGTATCTATAAATTCACACAGAAATATTTAAGCATACTATGACTATCATCTCAGACTGATAAGCCTATCTTATTACTCAGTTGTGTATTCACATGTTATATAATGATATTTATTGTTGCTTATTAATAATTATTTTTCACAAGTATTAAATTAAAATAAATGTGCTTACACGGTTGAAAAATACGTAAAACTTCTTGCTGACTTGTTGTACATATGTTTATTTCTATCAATGTAGATTAACTTAAATCAGTTTAACTTATTTTTTATCTTTTAATTCTAGGATTTATGCCCGTTTTTTACCGTTATTACAGTCTAGAGTTTTAATTAATTTTTATTCAACTAACTCTTTTTCTAGTACTACACTGAAAGAAATATTTTGCATGATATGTGACTTACAAAAACTTTCTCATCTTTTTTAATTAAAAAAATTTGTTAGTTTCAAATTATTATTTGAAGAAGTGTTCATTTGAGAAGTATTAATAAAAATTTGATTATTGTAACCAAATTTTTATTAGAACAAAAATTTTAAATTTAAGAATAACAGAGTTTTTGTAAGTCACTGTATCATACAAAACATTTTTCTCAATGTAAGAATTAAAAAAATAAGAGTAAGTTGTACTAAAATTAAAGTTAATCTGCATTGATATAGAAACGAACATTAGAAAAAGATACAAAGTAAATTAACTCGATTAAAGTTAAATGACACATTAAAATGAATCATAATCGAATAAAATTTAAAGTTTGGACAGATGTGTCCTATTTTTCACATCATCGAAATTCGATATCTTGCCTTGTACACCTGCCAGCCAGAGATAATTAGAACTACAGATATGAGTCAGACGTGAGTCCTTCATGTTGCTGTCAGTTATCGCTTCTTTTTCGATTCTCACGATAGAATAGGAACATACGGAAAGACATTTTTTGACGTGACTTGGAAACAGAAACACGTAGATAATGTTGTGTATCATTTCGTTGTGTTCAAACTGTTTTGACATCGCTCCTTGCCTTCGAATTTTTAAAGAATTTAGCAGCGTTTTATAACCTCGTTTTATATCCTCGGGGATATCCGTGCTTCCTATTAAATTGGACTAACATGTAGTAATTCAGTGAAAAAGCGAGTAGTTAACAAAAGTGAACGATTTAATATCGTAATTTGTGAAATAAAGATAGTAACAACAAATTTTTTAATAATTTAAAAATATATTTTTGCAGTTTTGCTGTTAAAAAAATTCTTCTATTTAGCTAATTATTTAATTGTGATAAGACTTCATTTAATGTGGTAAATGCAACTTCAGTGAATAAGGAATCTTCTTTTCTTCGACATAAATCAATCTAATGAATTCGAAGTTTATGCGCAATCGTAAAGTTGTGGGAAATCAAATAAATGTAAATTCCTCGTGTCCTTCGCACGTTCGTCCGTTAAACCACAAATATCATTACTTATTCGACCATATGCTATTCGACCTATCCTGTGCTGTGCAGTTTTGTGCGTTTTGTAAGAAGAGCGAGAAGATGTGCCTTGATGCGATTTGAGCGACGGGATTAATTGGATTAATTGGATTAAAACATCTTTCTTAGTGGAATCGCGATAGAAACAACAGAAAGATGACTTCTAGAAGAAAGAAGAAGTCGCAAATTATGAAGAAGGTTTCGAGCCTATTCAATCTCGATACGGTGAGTCATATTGAATCGAATTTTTACATCTCGACGATGACTTTTCGCGATTTTAAATCAGCGATTGTGACTTTTCGAAAATAATTATGTGCCCTGATAAAATTGCGTTGATTAATTTGAAATTACTATAAGGACTTCTCTTTAAAATATATATTTAAAATTAATCGATAAAATTGATTTTTTGTTAATGATAAGTCTAGGAATTTAAAAGATATTTTATTGCTATATAAAATATTCTTATTGAAGTTTCCAACCATTTTTAATTTTTTCATAATAAGATATGTATTTTTATAACGTACTAAAATATTTTCTCTTTTGAAACAAAAACAATGTCAAGTTTCAGTCACTACATATAATCGTCTACATATAATCGATTCTTTAGCTCAGAATGAGTTTCTAAATGTCGTGACCTTGTATTTACTACTCACGTGTTTCAATTTGGGATTTTTTACGAAAGAGCCTTGGAGGCATGAGTATGCAAGAGTTGCGTTAGACATAATTCATGATATAGTATTCTTAACGATCGCAGGTGGTATAACTTCTCCATAAATTTTATTAAATGCTCGATTGGTCACTTAAAAATTTTTTTTATCGATGATTCAAGATTTTTTTGGACGATGCAATATTTAATAAATAATTTTTAATAACGATTTATTATATTTTTTTCAAGAACTTTTAAAAACCGTTTTGAAATGACGGATGAATGATTAAAAAATTCACATCCACATTTCTTTATTTAATTTATTTCAGTAAATTAAATTTAACAAATTTTGACAATAGCGAATAATTTGACCATTCATAAATGCTAAAAAACGCAATTATAATATTTTCTAGAATATTAGTAGGTAATAATTACACAATAATATAGGCGATGCATAAAAGAAAGAATATTATTATCTTTGCATTCACCTTTCCAATTGTTCAATTTATAAGAACAATAGCTCGTAAAGCACTCGTATACCAATTACATACAATATTGGATACTGAGTTAATTAACGGCGGAATTGAATTGAATTGCGAGATGACTCTCGGTTTATATGAATACGCCATGCTGAATAATTTCGTGTCGAGCAGAAACGAGGTAGATTATGAATACTTAAGAGTATCACGCTGTGTGTTCCGAGCGACGGTATAAATTGTTGAATACTGGTGAAACGATGCGTATTATCGTAAATTAATCGAATTGGCATGTATGTTAATATCGTGTGATTCTTCTCAGTTATAATACAAAAACAATATTTACACAAACGATACACAGGCATATATGAATGTTACTGAATTTGCATCAATTTAATTATTGTTGAAATTTATTGTTGAATTACAAACATTTCTACGAATTACAAACATTTTTTTTTTTTATTCATATTTATTTTAGAAACGTTGATGTGTTTAGAAAACAGAAAAAGCTTCTATTCTACCTATGACGGTTAACGAATAGAAACCATTTATTACATTTTTCCTTGTAACGCCGTTGCGACGCGAAACGAAACGTCGCGGAAAAGCTTTGCGGACGGTGGAAAAACGGAGAGTAGTAGCGCACTAAAAGGAAAAACAGTTTGCAAAAACAGTTGGTAGAAGAGGAAAAGAACGCCATCGTGACGAAGTTGGAAGTGATGCAAGCGAGGAAAATCGCAGAACCATTTTTCTCGTTGATTTCACGACCAGCTTTATGCGATAAGAGTGCGTCGAATAGCTCCGCAAAAGTGATGGTGGGAATGAAAAGAGGAACGGAAAGAAAGGAAAAAAACTGTGGGACATAAACAAGATCGTAGGAACACCTGTCGACTTTTCCATCGTTAAGGAGTAGCTTTGACAGAAAAGAAGAAACGCGAAGTCTCTTTATTTTGAACTGTTATATCGTCACAACTAATAACTATATAGTT